TCTAGGGTGGTATCCCTGCGGTCGATGTCTGCTTCGATAAGACGATACTGCACGGTGTGGTGCGTGATGAACGCTAAGCCACCACCATTATCTCGCTCGCGATCTCGACGGTGCACGTTGTACCCGGCACAATTCAACAAAGTTGAATTGCTGTGCAACTTCGTCTCTTGGACCGCAGCTATTAATATACCATGCCGACACATAAAGGCGGTTATCTCCTCAATCTTGCTCTGTAGCCCGTTACAGTTGAATTGGAGAAGGCATTGTCGTCTCTACGTCTTTGGTTATTAATTTTTTACTGGGTTATGGCATTTCACAGTGTCCAGTTGGTACGCATTATGGCCACCCAATCGATAAATGTATGCATTTATGTTATGTAATGACAGAGTGTTGCAATCCCTATTTAAGCTTTAACACAATGGCGACTTCCAACATTGGTGCTACGCAGCCAATAGCCGGTGCCTCAAGATTTTGAACACATCTTGCACACATATTGTAGCGATACCCGAATTTGCGAAATTTTGACGTATATGGTGTCAAAATGGGTTTTCTCGCCCAAGATCTGACCGCAATGAGGCCATGGGGTCATAGCGAATAAAGCACTTCTGTGCCCAAAAAGCTAAATAAAAATAAAACGTGTAATTATTTGAATCAAAAGTATTTCACTACTATCTACTAAAACTTTCTTGCCTGTGGAACTGTTATTAAATAGCGTGTCAAAGCTGTTTGTGTCGATATGCTTCAAGGAAATGTCGCTTGTATCCGTTTCCGTGCTGAAGAGCTGCTGAAAGTAGCCGTCATCGATTCGCCAACAGTTAGCGAGTGGCGGCACGAACGAACTCAATGAGGTACAACCAACNCTGTCGTCTATCCGTGCTAGCTAACTTTGTTGTTGCTTTCACATGCAAAATTCTTCTTTAAACGACCGGAACTCAAACAGAGCGAGCGAGAAGTGGCGAATCGATGACGGCTAATGTTGGTTTTAACCTGCCAACACAAACCGATGCGCGAAAATGCTGTAAGTGCGTTGTGATGCAGGTGAAATTTGTGGATAAATACGAAGCATTGAAAAAACGCTATAACTGCTTATAGCTTCTGCCTTTCGCCCACGGAGAATACAACATCGATAAAATCATATCCCTTACCCTTTTTTGATAATTTCTTATTTTTATTTATTGATTTGATGTTTAAAAATTAGTTAGTTTGGTCGGCTCATGGCATAAATGGCTTCATGATTATCGATAATGCGTACTTCCGGTTATCGATTAATCTAATAGCCGTGTGCTTTGGCTAGTAGGGAAGGTGGTAATAAGATTTATAAAATTTTGTCGCTTACTTTTTTGCTTTGGCAGAGCTTCTCTTCCAATTTGACGCCTGCGTCTTGATGCTATTACAGAAATCGAGCGACGTACGGCAAATGGATTTTTATGGGTGCTTTTTCGTGGAAGAAATACGCTCGGTGGTTTGCCATTGCCTGCCGGGGGACGACCGGTTTTTGATGTGTTAGATGTTACTCGACACCGGGATCGAACCCAGGTCCTGCGTAGTGGTAGTACGCACCTTTAACCACTCAGCCACAGCCAAATTACAAAATAAAATAAAATACCAGTAAAAAACAGAGATGAAATAAGATAAGGAGAGTCAAATTAAAATAAGCTAAAGTAAATTACACTGTGCGACACTAAAAAATACCTGGGATGTTATGTATATATTGTGGTAGGTCTTTTCGAGTAGAACAAGAATCGAAATATGAAATTCGCCAAACACCCCAACAAATTTTATTTACCGTTGAAAAGCCGGTTCTTCGCACTTATAACCCTCGAACTTGGTTAATTACGAGTATTTTGCAGGCTTTAAAAAGAAACTTAGACCTATCGAATGGTATATATGTGAATAAAAAAACCTTAAAAGATCTGTGCGTATTTACCTAGAACACATTTTTTTTTTACTTTTTTCGCCTGTTTTCAATTTTGGTGAGGTTTTTAAGCGCTATTTTATAAGAAAACCATAATAGCCATAAATTGATTAGAAAACTAAATTTAATAACGAGTGTTTATTTTCGAGAATCAGATGAAAGTTTACCGAGTTACTAAACTTTATATGAGAAAAAATTTTTTGGAATTCAACTCAAAAATGTTTGCTTGACCGTATTTTTTTATTTGACGTTCGCGTTATAGGCTTATAATTGCGCAAAAGTGCGAAAAATCGGGTTTTTAACGACAATTCAAGAGGGTGTTTGTCAAATTTCATATTTCGATTCTTGTCTTACTTNGTTTTTACGCGCTATTTTATAAGAAAACCATAATAGCCATAAATTGATTGGAAAACTTAATTTAATAACGAGTGTTTATTTTCGAGAATCAGATGAAAGTTTACCGAGTTACTAAACTTTATATGAGATAAAATTTTTTGGAATTCAACTCAAAAATGTTTGCTTGACCGTTTTTTTTTATTTGACGTTTTCTATGATCGCAAAGTATGGCCATCGCGAGAGTCGCATCAAATAGGCCGGAAAAACGTTTCAAACGTCCCATTCTTTAAAACTGAAAATGTGGGCCAACCACCACTGCACTTAAAGCTAGGATATATGAAACTATAGGGGGCACGGTGCAGGGATTGCATGGTGTCCCAAGTGAAAACCGTTTTTTCCGTACAATCCGTTCATAACCAACTAAGTTATAGGCTTATAAGTGCGCAAAAGTACGAAAAACCAGGTTTTTAACGACAATTCAAGAGTTTGTCAAATTTAATATTTCGATTCTTGTCTTACTCGAAAAGACCTACCAGAAAATATACATACATAACTTCCCAGGTATTTCTGCATTATTCTTTTTTGTAGCACTGTGTTATTTATGTCTCACAACAAAATTTAGAAACTGGGATTTTGTATTGGATTCTATCAATTATAAGCTTCTTGCAGGTTTGCAAATTAATACAAAAAATTTATATAAAAAGACTCAATGCACTCAAAATAAAACCATCTGATCTGCATTCTTTATTTAGTATTATTTTACGACTTTTTCAAGTAAAAAAAATAAAATTTAACGAAATAGAGAAAAGTTATAAAAATAAGTTTCATTTGTTTCATGAAGACAGACAAATAAAATAAATCAATAAAATCGGTTACATCAAAAGATTTGTTGTAATCTTAGAAGAGGGTGTCACCATTTACGCCATTTTATTTTTGTTTCCTTTTCTACATCGTTTCCTCCCTGTCTAATTACAAATAGCATCCTTGGAATTGTTGTTGTGCCGTACACAGCTGTTGCCCATTGGCTTCAGTAGCTGCTGAATGCAAAAACACCCCATTCGCAAGATTTTTAGATAAACATGTGTGTGTACATACAAGTTTCTGCCAGTAACAACACCTCGTCCCATTTTTTAGTGGTGAGTACACAGTTGTGGTATAAAAGGATGCTGTGCAGCCAAGGACATGAAACATTTCGAATTTGTCGCGAATATAAGCAATACGTAAGTTGTAGAGGGAAGCGCATGGTTAAACGGATAAAATATAAGTGAATTGAATTAGACATTCATAAAAATTAAATAAATACAAATAATAATTAAAGTGAGTATACAAGGGCACCCACATCGGGAAGTGTATATACTCGTACTTAAAACGGCATATTTCCATATGTTACTTACATATATACGTCACTACGTGATCGTAGTTACGTAGGACTCAGAAATTAAAGTTCATGTGTGAAAAAATCATATTCATAATTTTTTGCTGATTTTTTTGTTTAAGAAGAAAACTATAAAAGAATAAGAAGTGGTCTTAAATAAGTGATGTTTAAGCAAAAAACACAACCTACTTCAATTCTCATATAAAAAACATAGGAGTACCGTTAATTTCTTGATGATGCAATGATCGGTTCTAAAAGAAATTACTTTTTATGGGACCACCCTTGATCCAATAAAAAAAGAGTTATCGAAATCGGTTCCTCATTTTCTGAAATCGGTTAAAAATATTTTTAGTAATGATTACATTCGAGTTTTTTCCAGAGAGAACTCGTTAAATAATAATAATGACCTGAACTTCTGTCTCATTTCTTGAACAAAATCAGCGCAGATAAATAGTAAAAAATATGATTTTATAAAGATGTTCGAAGAACATTTCCCATTAAGCTAACCATCATTTTATATTTTTGAAACCTTTTTTTGTACCTTATGTTCGTGGATTCCATTTTCCCCTATTATGTTTAAAGGACAAAGTCAAATAATGCCAAAGATTTGTTTTTTCTGCACTCCACGTCCAAAATTTCCAGCAGCGAAATGAAAAATATAAAAATAAAAATAAATAAACAAATAAATAATAAAAAATAAATAATAGAAAAGAGAAATATATATTGTGACAAAATTGTTTCTAAAGTTCCTAAGATACAGCCATTATTTCCTGATGATGTGGAACAATTGTTAGTCTAATAAATGGCGAAAAGTTGAAATAACATTTTTTCACTAAAAAATATTACAAAATATTGCTCTCAATCCACAAATGTGATCGAAATAGTTTGCAAATGATTTTATTGTATCCTGATATATGTATGTATCTTTTCTTAACAGACGGATTTTCAGAGAATAATTTAGTGGTAAAACCCCTACTTTTTTGGCAAAGTTTGGATTTGAAAATATTGTATGGGGCCACGGGCCAATTCGGCAAAACGGTTAACACCATTGAATTCAGCGTACCCCAATTATCTAGAAATGACCAACACACATATCTCCCGTCCGTCGGATTTTTGAAAGTTGCTCATACGCTGTGTTAACCTATTTATTGGTTATGTGTATGCAAGTGGAACCTTCGCTTAATTGACCACAAAGTAGATCAGTTGCTAGTTTTTGGCAATATGTACACGCTTCTGTAACAATAAAAATTACAAAATAAATTTTTTACTTTTAATTGTCATGTGCAAATGAAATTTCCGTCGCGATTGATAAATGGTGAATGCTTTCGGTGCTGAATATTGCATCTCAAGAAAATATTAAATAAAAGCTCATCTAAAAAATTTAAGTTGCGCCCAGCGTACGCTCCTCAGCTAGCAATTGCATAATTACGTATCAATTGCCTACTCAGTCCAAAGTAGCAATGCTGATTTCCAAATAAACAAAGTCCTCTACACTCTAAAATATTTGTTTGACGCCAGAAGATACTTCGTCTTGTCATTGTTATATTCCCACACGCTTTAATAACAATAAATTGGCGCTTACACATAGTATGTTAGTGTTTGGCCGAGCTTCTCCCCGATTTGTGCCGCGCGCATACATTCGGAGGTTTACAATTTTTTTATTTTCATTTACTTGTTTGGTATCGAATGTTTCGGTGAAGCGCTACCCATTTTAAAGAAGATGGTGATGTTGTTCGACGTCATTTTACTCAGGCGGAGATACCAAATGCAGATATCGCGACGTATGGGCAACTCCTTTTCACGACATCGAAGGCTATTTTAAAATCAACGGAGAGATGATGTATGTAGGTTGATCCTCCTCGTGCGGGTCTTTTACAAGATATGTGGTATTTTGAATACACGATCTATAGTGGATTTAATAGGCATAAAGCCCCACTTACACGTAAGGCCCAATCAGTTCGTTGACGGTTGAGTCTTTCACACAAAATGCTTGATAATAAATCATATGCAATATCGATAAGCAGATCCCGCGGTAGATAGCACAAGTAATATTGTTGCTTTCTTGTGAATTGGACAGAGTAAATTGAATTGTGCATGCATCTTATGAGCTCCTCGCCGACGTACTTGAGAAGCTGAGATGGCATACCACCTGTTGTAGCAGCTTTGCTAAGTTAAATCTAATTAGCTCATAATTGAAGACATAAGACGTAACGGCTGTTGATTAGTAAATAAAATATGTAGTCCACGAAACCAAATTTTTTTAACGATTTACTATTCAAATTGGAGGAAAAGTTTAAGTTGAAATATTCCAATTCTGATTTTTGCGAATCCCGAAAAAAATTTCTCAAATCCATTTAATAAATATTAAATTTTTATTGCAAATTGCAAAACGTGTGCTGCAAACCAATTCATCCACACACCCTCTTTTTTTGGCGCTAGAGCTACGAATATTTGACTAGGTGTGAAAATATGTATGTGCCAATAATAATAAAATATCCAAAAATAATAACAATAACAAATATAATGTGGTTAGTTAGAGAGTACTTAAACGAGCGCATGGACAAACGAAAGGGGTGGTATGTTGACACACCTTCAAGCAAAAAGCAACAAACAAAGCCACAGGCAGGCAGACAAATATGAGTTGGTAAATACATACTAGTAAGGGGGTAAAGGAGTAACCCCTTAAGCAAAAGCAAATGCATATAAATACTTGTTTACAATTGCATGAATAATATATCGAAATTTCATCACCCACGGCATACGCTCCGTGCGGCTGCTGGGCGTGAAGGCATGCGTTGCTTAACCACAAGTTTTGTGGGCGTGTTACCTTTGGTGCAATGAAAAATTTTAGATTTTTTTTTTTAAATTTGTAAAGCTCTTACATTTTTCAACTATTAATACGAGTGTCTCTTTGTCTTATTTTGTTTCAGAAATCAGAGAAATACCTTTGAGCTACAATGGTGTACGACATGACGCATATGGTGCCAGCGCAAAGCATCTCCTTGGGCCGCTACTATCTGCATGATCTCAATGGCATGGCAGAGAATCACGATTACGTCTTGGATATTGATCGACGCTTTCAGGCGCGTATGGCTTGTGAGACAATGCCACAGGCATCACCACCACCGCCGCCCACACCAGCACCGCGACGGCGTACAACACCAATAGCGCACTTGGATCCTTCCGAGTTGGTCGGTTTGACGCGTGAAGAGCGTCGTCGTCGGCGACGTGCAACACTAAAATATCGTACGGCCCATGCAACACGCGAACGTATACGTGTGGAAGCGTTCAATGTGAGCTTTGCTGAATTGCGAAAACTGCTACCCACTTTGCCGCCGGATAAGAAGTTATCGAAAATCGAAATACTCAAGCTGGCTATATGCTATATAGCATACTTGAATCATGTGTTGGAGACGCCATAAGCGGCATAGTACTATTTGATGGGGATATATTTTATTTTAAGCGTAGGTTAATTTTAATTTTACTTTAACTATAATTTAAGCTGCAATGTGATACTGTTTAATTTTAAATGAGTACTCTAAATAACAGTAAAGTTAATATATGTATGTATGTATAACTTTAATATTTTACATATCTTAAAATTTTCGTAATAAAAGTCGTCTACTCCACATTACATAAACATAACCTATACTCACTTTGCTAGTATTCTTTGTATTGCCTTAGTATTTATCTATGTAACAACACCATGTATTTAGTTGTTGGCCTCAGCTGTCGCTACACAAGTTTTCACTTTTCTCATACATTTACCGCCATTGGGCACCTGCGCCTTGGATGCTGCAGTCCCATCCCCACGAACGTTCAAATAAATGTTTGCAGAGCAAATAGCAGAAAAAGAGAAGCCAATTGGGGAGTAGCAGAATAATGATGGGCGCATAACCAAACAAAAACAAATACCAGTAAATACAGTGTGTTTCAAATGACTGTTTTCTTGTAGGGATAACTCATGATAGCATGCTTTTAACCAGGGACCGGGAACGCGTTCGGGTTTTGGTTTAGTTCTGCATAAGAACAAAATGTAATGTCAAGAACGTTCCCACAGAAGAACTAAACGGGAACAAAAGTATTGAGAGCAGTTTTAACGGGAACAAAATTAGAATAAAAGGTTCGGGAACGTTTCCGTAAAGAACAAAATGCGAACCAAAATCTCGGAAACGATTTAAAGAAGAACAGAATGAGAACGAAACTTTCGGGAAAATTTTCAATGAGAACGAAAGTATCGCGAACGTTTTCAAGGAGGATCTAATAAGAACGTTCGTCAGCGTTCTGCTAGAGAACAAAATGAGGATAAAAGTTTTGAGAACTTAACGTTCGGAATGTGTATTGGGTTGAAAAATCGTTTCAGTGAGAAGCACGTTTGTTAATTCTAAGCCAGAGGAAAGCTGGATAATTTGAACTACCAGATCGTTTATTACTAGGATGAAATGTACATTTATGGAACAAATTTTAATTTTCTGTGCAATGAAAGTTCGTGTCTTAAGTCTTTCGTTGACTCATTCGCATAATTATTTTTAAATTTTAACTTTAATATTCAAACATTTCAAACTAATGGACGCCAGTGAGAAAAATTTTGTTATCGCTTTCATTCTTCGCAAATAGTTCACAGAAGATTTGTTTCCGTTCGTTCTCTGTCAGTTCCCAACTACTTCTTCGAGAGGAAGTTCTTTGGACTTTTGTTGTCCTTGCTTTATTCTCTTAGAAATGTTCCCGAAAGTATTGTTCGCATTTTGTTCTCTTTGGAAACGTTCCACAGGTTTTGTTCTTATATAATTCCCGTTGAGGAGGTTCTCTACAGTTTTGTTCCCTCCTTCGTTCTTGTGAAAATATTCCCGAAGATTTTGTTCTCATTTCGGTTTTGGTTTTTAAGCATTCTTGTTAACAAAACTACGAGAACGACAATTAGTTTCGACCGTGCCTTTTGTTCTCGGTCTCTTAGATCATTTTGTAAACTCCTTGGTTCATGGAATTTGCAAAGTGTTCGATACTTCAGATAACTTCCAGGTATCTGGAAACACATCTCAATGAGCGCGTGATTTGAAGCATTATTAGAATTTAAGTTGGCTCTGTGCGCATTGCACAAAAAACGTGACACTGCCATATGCGCCAACTATCGCCGGATCAGCCTGTTAAGAGGCGAATGAAAGATCTCAACGAGCGGATGGTGTAAATGTCTAAGGCCCAATTTCAGCGAACTGGTTGGGCCTTATAAGGCCTCAAAAAAAAACGGGGTATTCAACATCTTAGAAAGGAATTCTTTCGACAACCGATTTCAAAGGAAAAGAAGTGGCCTTTAGGCATCCCCGCTATTTCATGTGGCTGTGTAAAATTACGTTGAGCAATATCAACAGCTCCTTCGGAATCGGGAAACACCTGACTGAACCGTTTTATACCAAGCGAGTATTCAAACAGGGCGTCTATATATCACACGAATTCATTAGTCTTATAACTGAGAAGATAAAAAGGCCGCAGAACTGAGTCGGTCAGGGATGATTTTCTTTAAAAGCAAAGCGAATAGATCTGGAATGATAGAAAACAAGATTGCGCCAATCGAGCTGAGAGCAACTGACCGTGACGTCAAAAAATACCAGAATGAGAGAGCAAGACGAACTCGACAAGAAAAAGAGGAGGCATCGAACAAAAGGCAGTATTGCCAAGTTTTGAATTTGAAAAAGCACCAAATTTTTATTGGTATATTTTATGGACTTTATATACATACATAATTTTATTGTAAGGATTCCGATTCAAATTAATAAAAATCAATGTTTCTTGCACGACGGTCGATTTCTTCTGGCATGATTGAAGGTGCTGCCACATATTTTGTTGTCGCTTATGTCACTGTGCCATGATTTTGTTAAAATTTTTGTAAAGTTGCTTACCACACTTACGATTGCTATAAATTTTGCTTCCATTTTTTTAAGATTTTCTAATTTGGTGTCTTCAAACTAAAAACAAAAGCACCAAAAACGCACCAAGCACCAACCTCAAAAACTTTCGCGTTTTGTATACCCACTAAATTTGGCGCGAAAAGCATCAAGTTGGAAACAGTGAATGTAAACAAAAGTATTTTATGACGTCAGCGATTGGGTGGATGCTGTAAAATCGACGAAGAGAGGGTTAGCGGTCCGCGAATGGCACGACCTTTATTTTCTAGATCGTGACGAAGTAGTATCTTCTCTTACCACGTCCCTACTGGCAGTTATAATTTTTAAAAATTAGAGAACTTTGTTTATTTGGGAGCCAGCATTAACAGCGGTAATATTGTCAGCCTCGAAATTTAATGAAAAACGATTCAGAAATAAAGTCCTCTAGCGTCGTACAAAAATCACATCTTGCACCTAGCTTGTGGTGCAGGTTAGGTAAGGTGGCAGCCCCGTGTAACCGGAGCTCACTTAGACAATTTGATATTGTCCTTAGTGATACCACAATTTTGAACTTCACCTTAAATATTATCGATAAAATGCCGCAACCCGATTATGTGTGGCTATTTAGGGTGTGAGAGACAAATTACTTCAACCTTAGCCTCGCAAACGCTGGACACCTAAGAAGGTTGAGGTGATTCCACCTCGTCATCTTCCAGGAAACTGCGACATACGGTGCCCGGTAGTATGTTCAGCCTAATTGCGTGAATACCGATTGGACATTGACCCGTTAAAGCCCCCACCAGAAGTGAGAGCTTTGGCTTTGTGAGTGTTAGGAGTGCCCCCGACCGCACCCGGTCCACCCTCGGCCAGAAGGACCTTGCCTTTAGCCGCTTGGCTGTAAGAATATACGCTCACTTCCCTGACTGTAATAGCACTCCTGAGCAGTGAATCCACCGCCTCCTTGATAGCAGCCTGTCCGGGAGCCTGAACTTAGTGCTGATGTTAAGCCCTCGACAGAAGAGCCCACCATCAACCTTGCTCTACATGTCAACCAGCCTTTCCAACGTTTTCAGTAGAAATTATGAGAGACTGATTGGCCTAAAGCCCTTGGGGACAACATGAGAGGTCCTTCCGACCTTCGGGATGAAACCACCTTGACGACACTCCAACCCCTGGGAATATACTCGTATCTTACGTAGCTCTCGTAGATTGTGGCCAACCAACGGCACGACACCTCCGCAAGTTTTTGCAGCTGTGCAGGTATGATGCCAACGGTTCCTGGGGTTTGAACGAGTTGATCGCCCACGTCAGGCGGCAGTCATCCAGAAGGTCGGAAAAAGCAGCGCAGTCTCCACGAACTTCGCTTAAGGAAATTTCCTCCGGGGAAGGATTGGAAGGAAAGTGAGTATCCAAGAGCAAGCTAAGTGACTCCTCGCCACTCATAGTCAGTGCCCTGCCTCATCCCTCGAGTAACCCAGCGGTGCGGGATTCCTAGCGAGATTGCGTCTAAATATGGAGGATTGTAGTGCACGACAATGACAAAATCCGATGAGGCGGCCCTTGGAGTATTTGAGAATAATAGTCTTCGAAATCACTAGACGAAACTACCCAATTATCTATTGGTTAACTTAAGTCAGCTAAGAAATAACTTTCAATGTCGCAAGAACACTATTTATATAGCAACTGACTACAAGTGATTTCTACTTGGATGCTAGTATCGAAATGACATTAACAAATGTGCAATGAAAGCTATGTGGCTCCTGGACACTACAAAAGGCATCTCCTCGAGTTTACGGACAAGAGCCAGCAATACCTCAGACATTCATTGTATGTGACATTTTGCAGACTTGTCTTAAATGGCATTTATAGACAAACATTGTCAATTCACTATCTCTTGGTCTTTGAATACCGTAATCGAGTATCAATCAAGAGCTTCAGCTAACTTAAATATCTATTATTTTCTATGTAGTTTCAAGTTTCTTTGAGTTTCAGGGAATATCCTACCTACATAAAGCTTACTCCGAAAGTTCAATGTCGTCCACAAACATTCCAGCAAACATGCATTTTTTGCAGCCAGGGTCATGGCAACCTCATTTATTTGCTCACACCTTTTGAGAAACCACAACTTCCTGCACGTTGTCCTGGTATTTCTATCAATTGTTTTTCCCTATTATACATACAATTTAAAGTGGAAATTAGTGAGCAACCAAACTGCATTTAGTGTAAAGAAATTTGTTTAGCAACTCTAGAGCAAGTGAGAAAAAAAAAAACAATAATAAAAAAAGCAAAACAAATGACGAAAATTTGTCAATCAAAAATTTTATTAGGAAAAAAAATTCAGACGCACATGCATAGCAGCAAAGTTTAAGTAAAATAAATTAGTTTTAATTTTTCTAACCACCCCTTACGGTGCAGCACATTCATACCAACCTACATACAAAATGGCGTATCATTTTAGTGCTAATCAGGTATTTTCGTTTGATTTAAAATAAGTGAAATTGGGCGAAAAAGTGGTTAATATGTAAACATATATGTATGTTGTATGTACATATGTAATGGGAAGCGATGTTTCCTTAAAATATCCACATACATATGTATATGCTCAGTGGATGCA